TGTGTGTGTGTGTGTGTGTGTGTGTGTGTGTGTGTGTGTGTGTGTGTGTGTGATTTCTATATGGGAATAATCCCAGAAAATTCTATAAGTAATCTTTACAACTTTTCCTAGGGTCATTCTGTGCTGATAGAGCTGAAGGGTCATCAGGGCTCAGTGACTGCTGTGGAATTTTGTCCTTGGCAAGCACATATGCTCATCTCATTGTCTGAAGACCAAAGCTTTAAGGTAAGGGTGGACACTAGGCAACTATCTGAAAGCTGAAAAACGCTTATGCACACATGGATGCAGTGCTGCTTGATGGTCACTGCCATGTACATGGCTTCATCTGTGCCACATTCATATACAAAGACTAAGTTTTCAGACAAAAATGGAATCTTGATATTCTGGTGGGGATGAGGAGCTGCGCTGTGATCGCCGACAGCACAACTCTGGCCTTCCAGCATTCCCACACGGGCTTCCTGGGCTGCAGGGACTCTCCTCAGACCCAGTATTCTGGGAACTGCATTATTAGTTTACAGCCACAAGATTTACTAATGACCAAGAGCAGAAGAACCAGTGTGCCCTATCAGAGGAATCAGTCAGAGGTGAAATAAAGTGCAAATTTACTTCCCACCAACCCCAAGTTAACAGGTATCGTTATGATTTACCGTGAAAGGAAGGGCACGTACACGTACCACCTGGAGAGAGAAGCTGAGGTTAATGGATGCACGTCAGAAGAGAGAAGCTCTGAACGTACATCACTTGGCTGGTTCGAAATACCTCCCTGGTGAAAGCTGGTTCCAAAATGAAAGGGCACGGGTTCCCCATGTTGGAAGTGGCCCAGAGGCTTGAACCCCAGTTATATCACTGATCAACAGTACTGCGCACAAGCCTCCTGTCCCAATTTTCTGCGAGTAAAACCCTGCTTTGGGAACATAACTGGTTCCAGAAACATGCATGTAACCCAAAGCACTTGTATCAAAACAAATTTCCCCATAAGAAGTAATGGAGACTCAGATGATTCTTTCCCCAGCCCCAAAATAGTCATATAAAAAGGATTGCAATATTTTGAAATATTGCTGTTGGGAGATCACCAACAATGTTACAGAGGTAGGGAGAGGGAAGTGGAGGGGGAAATCCACTGGCTTAGTTGTGATCAGTGATGTTTGCCATTGTGTTCTGCTTGCGTTGCAAGACGTCACTCATTCATCAAGTTAAAATGTGTTGGAAATGTTTGCTTGTCATGAAGAATACTCACAGAATAAGTTAACTGCAGTCCAAGGTTTTAGTGTATATTAAATGGACAAAACAGTGCCCGTGCTTTTGGTATTGGTGAGAATAAAAGGAGTTGATGTTTTGAAAAGACTTCGGTCTATAGTTGCCATAGGGGAAGTCAACAGTCACTGCAAATATAAGTGAAGGTCACGGGGACGACGTGGCCCTACACATGAATTCAGTGACACTCAGGAAGAAGCCCTACAGAGGAGCTCCTTGTACAGTAAGATCCCCCATAGGGAAGAGCTTGATGTACAGTGGGGATGCTGTGTGGGGATGAGCTCGCTGTGCAGTCAGGGTGCTGTGTGGGGATGAGCTCGCTGTGCAGTCAGGATGCTGTGTGGGGGTGAGCTCGCTGTGCAGTCAGGGTGCTGTGTGGGGATGAGCTCGCCGTGCAGTCAGGGTGCTGTGTGGGGATGAGCTCGC